ACTCTGGGTGTCACCGCCATCCTGGCTGGCTGGGACAAGGTTCTGGGATTTGTCTCCCCAGCAGTTGCTAAACTGGCTCAGGCTTGGTCAGGATGAATGAAACAATTATCTCCTGGATCAATGCAGTAAGGAGCAGTGAACAGTTGATTTTTCTTCCCTAAGTAGGAGAAAGCCAGCCCCTGGCTGCAGTGGTGGCCGTGGTGATAGCTGGATGGGACGAGGGGACCTCAGGCTATTCAACAGTAAAAGAAAGACAATTGCTGGTGCTTCTCCAGGGAGATATGGAACCTACACACCAACCAGGTTTTATACTTTCAAACAGGCCACCATCAGAAAGCAAAGAGACCTTAGGCCTAGCCCAGCCCCAGAAAAGTGATACTTTACCCCAGGAATTCCCTGCTTCCCATTGGTACTTAACATTTTTCACTCTGTTGTGACTGCTCTTATTTCCTTCACTCTTGCGGATCTGTGTTGGAGGGACATTGGAAGGGGCCCAGCTCTGGCACTTGCGTGAGCGGACACACACAGGGCGGGTGTCTGCGCCCATCCACTCTGAGATCCTCTCAGCCGGACTGGCTGCCAAGCCGTTCTTGGATGAGCCTCTCACTGAGCGCCCACAGGGCCCGGGCCGTCTCTTCGCTCTGTGCTTCTGGCGAGGGCATGCAGCGGCAGCAGTTGTTGAAATACATCCCTCCCAGACCCTCCAGTTCTGGGGCAGCAGCACAGTACACAGTGGTGGCAGCTCCCTGTTGCTGGAAATCCAAGAAGAAAGACAAAGTTGTAAGAAAAGGAACGACGAAATCACATCATTTCAACTGCCTGGGCAGTAGCGAGCCTCCCCCAGGTGGCTCAGTTTCAGCTGGATCTTGGCATAGCGAAGGGTACTGGGCTGAAACCACATGACTGTAAAAAGCATAATGTGAGTATCCTGGAAAAACGAGTTCATAAACTCCGCTTGTAAAGCTGGTGTGACTTTTGACACCTCATATAGGAACAGGCTTGGAAAAGAAATACACATATCAATACGTCGTGGCAGGCGCCTCTTCCACGCAGAGAGAAAGATGGTACCTTCTGAACGTGCAAGAACAAATTCACCCAACCCCTCGACTTCTCCATGTATCTATAATGTAATTCGATACCACATCAGTTGAAGAATTTTCTGACAAATCAACCACTCTTAATTATGGTCCATCAGGTAGAAAACCCAATTGGGGCTGGTGCCAGATCATCCGTTTATGCTTTGCCCACGGTGCTGCTAGGGGAAGGATGGGCAATGCTGTGTTAAAACATTTAATGCACACACATACTCCTAACCGTACATCCATACCTAGCACAAATACATAACACATTTCTTAATTCATCCGGATACCATGAAAACCTTTTTCTAAATGTCGTATTTGTCCCAGATTTACAATGGGATCATGGGTAAGGGGGTACATTTCTTTCCAGCCCATTTCAGAACGTAAGTTGCAAAGAGTGCAACTGATCACTTTCATTCACCTTTTGAGTAAGTTGGGGCTGTGACTGGGGATGTGTGCACTGATGGGGCATCATATCATCCAAACTGACAATACTGTCACGGATGCTGTAAAGAGGGCAAGAAATCACTTCGCTTTGCAAGCCATAATTAAAAATAATAGGCTGCTGTTCAGAGGGAGACACGGTTGGCACGTCTCTAATTTAAAACCAATACAGTTTATCTAGCATCTTATGATTATGTGTTTCACAGCTCTAACTGCATCCACTAATTTTCAGCTGATAGGGAGAGGGGTTGCAAGAGAGGACTGGAAAAGGTAACTAAAGATACAGTTGCCCCTACTAGGCAAACAGTAAGGAACTTTGATGGTGGGGGAAATGGCTTTCTGACCCCACCCAAATCTTATTTTCTGCCCCTGCAGGGTTTACATTGTGACCATGAAGGGTGCTTACTGGAGGAGTTTCCCTCAAATGGTTTAGTTTGCAATCACTGTGCTTGCATTCTAGGATCCCTGGGAGAGCCAGGTCCATTCTGAGAACTAGGGTCCTGAGAAAGGTGTTACGATGTGAAGAACGTGCCACACGGAACACTTGGGTTTGTTGTTCGGTTTGAGCTTCTTCAGTGTCAGGGTATGTAGTCACATTTGAGTTGGTCTGAAAATTGGTCAAATCTCTGGGAAGGGTGTGGCCCGTGAGTGAGACAAAGACTTGGGTTTTGATAATACCTGGGTGCTTGAAGATACTGGCCAAGCCCCATTGATCCTGAATTTGACCTGACTTGAACTTAATTAAATAGCAACTGGTTTGTTACCTCCCCAATCTCCTTCCATTACCATGCCCACTCCAAATAGCCTGATAGTATCCTGGATTCTATCCTGGATTCAGCTGTTTCTTTTCCCATTGATTTGTGTGGCTCAAGTCTAATGGAAATGAGTTCATGTCATCCAAATTTCCTTTCACTGAATTATTATTCCTAATAACCCTGAGCTTAGCACCTGGCACATTTATCAAAACAAGTTCAAGTGGTTTATCTGGCTCTACTGCATCACATGTGGGGAAAAGGGAAGCAGAAGTGTCTCTACAGACAAACTGGAGAATTGAGATGCTCATCCAGCTAACTCAAGCCAAGTATCAATTTGGTCTGGAATCTTAGCAGAGTTCTGGTGGAGATGGTGTTCTGCATCAACTGCCAGATATCTGTCATAGATTTCTATTTTACTTTGCAGCTGCCAAAACCACCAGAGTGGCCAAGTGACTTGCCATTAACTCCTGAGTGGTGGGAGAATCCAGCTTACTCATTTCAAGTCCAGCCTCCCGCCCCCTATGCCACAATGGTTACACTATTCAGCCTTCAGTCGTATGACAGACTGGCCTTTCACTGTTCTGCCAATTGTGGGGAAAAACCAAAGCAGTCCACTTGGGAAAGCAAAATGCAGAATTCTTACTAACTTGATAAAGTATTTTGCCACTATGACCTTCTGTAATGATATCATGTTGCACTTTTGCATTACTGGAATGGTATTTTTGCAAAGAAATTCTGCAGTCCCTTTGATTCAGAATGCTGTTGATGCGGGAGCTGGGGACCTACCTTTTCCTTCCATGGAATCTGAAGGCAATTACAACTGGTTTTGTTTCATGCCAACCTATATTTGGTTACAATGCTGAGAGTCCTACCTTTTGGAAAAACCTAACTTTCTATCAGGAGATGGCTTTGATTCCTTTGCCTCTAGGCTGGGAGTGATTTACTATCTAAATTCCATCACAAGTGGCCCTGGCTTTGCAGAACACAGTACACAGGAGGGGCACCTGACAGCAAACACCACCTTCTCTACTCCAAAAATCAATCGTCTCCCTTTGGCAAATTCTCCTTCTCAGATTCAGGCTTCGTGCTGATGGGTACTCACTCTACTTTCCTCCCTTGCTGGACATTAATTAAGCAGTAACAACATCTTGTTGATCCCATGCACACCACCCCTTTGGTCTCTTGGAGAATTCTCTTTTCAGCCGTACCAATGGCAACCTCTGAGTGACATCTTTATATGATCAGATGTGGCGACAGTTTAGTAACAAGTTCTCATTTCTGGCTCATCAGCTTTTCGGTCTGCATATCATCAGAACAAGACTGAGCCACATTAGTGAAATCTCAAGAGTAAAGAAGCCGGTACTGCCGATACAAGAGAAAGCATTTTTAAACCGATTTAAAAAAAACGTTTTTAAGGCGCACTTTAATCACCATCAGATGATTTCCATACCAGTTTTGGGGGCATCAGTTCATAATGCAGAAAAGATGAAAGAGTCATCTAAAGGAAATAATGTTAACAACTCCGTTATAAAATACCTGAAGCAATGCCTTGCTAGTTGTCACCATTGCTTACTGATCCATTGTGATAAAATAATACCTTGACATACAAATAACTGGCTGGAGCTATGGGTTCCCCTAAAAGATTTTTTTTTTTTTTTTGAGAATCATTTATCAGAAGTCTGTAGATTGTATACGGTAGCTAATCATGGGAAATGGGGGAGGTGTGTCTATCCCGCAGCAATGGCAATGAGTTAGGGTGTTGACGACACAGGACTGAGAATTTCTGGGAAGCCCAGTAGAATCTTTAATCATGCCCGAATGCCATTTCCTATCGAGTCAAACATTTGTGAGCTGCCAGAGGAGAACTGTGCAATCAATCTTGATAGTGTATGTAAAATTACCCAGGACTCTTGTTTGGGATTAAGTTAAGAGTATCTTGGTAATAAGGATTCATCATTCTCTTTCAAAAATCATTTGTCAGATTTGTAGCACAATCTTCAACTACAGAAAGGTGGGATTTAGAAAGCAGTTGCTGTTTATTTGTAGTTGAGGCCCTCAGATCTAAATTATCCATCCTTCCAAAACTCTGTGTTGGGATGAAAATGTTAAGTAGCTGCTTTTCATCAACATTCATTTGATAACTGCTAGCCATCAATTTATAGTTGTCAGCACAGAATACAAATGAATATTGACTCCTTTAAAGGAAAGGGTACAGAGGTTTCTGATAAACAATATATGGCAAAGAAAAAAAAAACACCCACATATTGATATTTGTAATGCATTGGTTAGTACTCTAATATAATACAGGGACACATGATACACAAGGTTTTGTTTTCAGGTTTTTCTATTTTAAAATGCATGCTTATTTAAAAGAAAGACTAGATTCCTGTCTTAAAGTACTTAACTGTGAGATATATAAGAAACAGACACAATATCATGGCATATCTATATATTCAATGATAGAGAGTAGATGTTCTAAGATTGCTTTCTTACAGGGACATTGCACGGCAAAGGCTGAATTAATCCACTTATGCAAAAAGTAGAGGTATGAAAGGAACACACCCTAGAAGTTAGATTAGGCTTGGAACACCAAGGGCAGGGAAGGAGAACAGCTCTTCTGAAGGCGAGCAGTGTTTCCAAGACAAAGAGGTGATCTGAAGTGAGCAGGTTTGGCTAAAAGGAAAGACATGTACCTCTTCAAACCCTGCCTACTTCCATTGTTCCTCATCTGGTGTCCGTTGGGTAAAGCAACCACTTCCCAAATGCAAAGCCGCCACCTTATCCAGTGACTCTCTGAATACACCACTGGGAACAGAATCATTTATCAGAGAGCTGCTGTGGTGGAGATGAGGGGGTGAGCCCTCATGTCACGGGTGGAATGGATGGCCTTCTCCACGCCCTGTCTTTCCCTGTCTCCCAGTAACTCTCCCCCTGGAGAGTGTATAACCACTCTCCCAGAACGGTGTAGAGGTCATCTCCAGATACCTCGGCGACTGGGATACAGCCATTCCTCACAATTACAGCTTCAATCTCTGATTGGAAACACAAATGAAAGCAAACTGCTCCAAAAGGCCACGTGTTCCCCACTCGCTGTCCAAGAGCAATCTTTTAGGGGACACGTTTGCCACGAATTCCATTAGTTCATAAAGTAATGCAGCCTGTACAGGAATGAGGCTCATGGGCCTCCCTGGCTCGGTGACGGCACCAGTAAGTCACCCTCTTCTTCCACCGTGATACTTCTATAATGAAATTATACAATTCAATTTGGAGTAAGTGCTAACCAACGAACACGCCAACTTCCACCAAAATGATGGGAAGCAGCAGAAGCCAGCAGAGATGTCTAAAGACCTCAGCTCTGCAAACTGCCCAGCTTTTTCAGTGAGTTGCAGCCAAGGAGGACTATTCAAGTGGCGACAATGACTAGCGTTTATTGAGAGGTTACGATTCGCCAGACTCTGTGCGGAGAGCTTTGTA